TCATCGACCATCTTTTTAATCTGTATTTTACCTTCGAGTACCTACTACTGTGCGCTGGAGTACATACATATGTACTAAGTTTTCTTTTATACAACTTAGAATACCAAATAAGTCGACCGCCTACAGAAACTGGTAACCGTCGCCTATTTGCTCTATTTATCCATCCAATGCTGATTGGATGATTATCAACTTAAAGATATTTATTTGGCACGAGTACATATTATATATTTTAGATGTCACTCTTTCTAGATTCTACCTATGGAAGAGCTATTATTTTTGTTGGTCTATAAACTTCTATTTTCAAAGATATAAAGGTCTTTACGAGATTCACTATCTGATTGTCCATCTCTCTTTTCTCTGGAACAGTTAATGGTATTAAACTGAAATTTGTGCAAAGTACAGAGATTTGACTTTACAGACCTATAAAAATTAAAATTTTGTAACTTCATATTAATAAAAAGTTATCGCATTTCGGAGAAGTATTTTTATTAAGTAGTTAAAACTTATAAACCGCGCTTCTTTGATTTAATATGAGCGATCCAAAATTTGTTTTCATTCTTCATTTCTTACCTGACCCTTATAGTAAGTAGGTCAGTGTATAAATACTGTCTATGTGTTTTTCCATAGAAGCATATGGAATGTAGGGCAAACCCCACTAGAGAGGCGAGAGGGGATTCTTTGCACTCGGGACTAGCGGTTCTATTACTAGCTAATGCCTTCGAAAACCATATGATTAATTTATTGCAAATTCATAACAATGGGTTCACGAATTCGACTTCATTCCCGCCTATTATGAGATACTAATACAATGCCAGCGCATACCAATAACAGAGCTGGAGTTATCGTTATATTCTCATCTCATAAAACTCTACCCGATGGAGTGACAATCTTAAAAATTTTACGGGGAGTTAACAGATATAACTATGTAAGTATAAACAATATAAGACATAAATTGAGATGGCCAGTAGATTTTCATATTCATTCGTTTTTCCTTATCTATCAAACATATTCAGAATGCTTCATTAAAAGAGATCAAGTTTAAATCTAATGAATTATTATTATAAAATTTTATTATCCTAACAAAATCCCTAACTCATTTAACAGCTAGCCAACCTTGTACCAAGTGCGAACGATTAATCAGGCTAAGTTACTTACAATTTGTAAAATAAATTATTTTAAAACCGAAATTTACTCGCGCAAGATGTCTGGGTCAAGGTTTTGGATGAACTTAATTATTTTTCACCAAACCATTTATACTTTAAGATTTTTAGAGTTCCATACTGATATAGAATAAAGGTATCCTTATGATGCGACTTCGTATATCCATATATACATCTGTTCATTTAAAATTTCTGCTACAGTATTAATGATTTGAAATTATTTTAGATATTGTTAGTCCACTTCTAGTACAAAATAAATAGTTGAAAGAATATTTTAATTTTCTTTGCTATCGAGTAAAAGGGTGTTCGAAATTTCTAAATACCTATTACAGTAGTCTAAGTAAGACTTTTGAAACAAAAATAAAAAAAAAAACATTATTATTTTTTAAACTTACGTTATTTTTTTTAACATAAGTCACGAGAAATTAAACAATGTGTTCATTAATTTCCCGTGACTTATATATAAAAAACAATATAGCAAATATAGTATAATCTATTTGCATTGCATTATATTATATTGGCATAGAAGATAAACAACAAACAATACGTGCACTTGTATAAACATAATAAGGCGGCTTCATTGCTAAAATTATAATGCAGTATTTGTAATATATCGAATATTTTTATATAACAGTAATGTTTACTTGTCGTGAGTTAGAATTTGGTTAACACAAAATAAATCCAACTAACTCTCCGATAATGAAAAAAATCCAATAATATTTGACCACAAAGAAACGCTGACGTAATTTAAAAACTTAATTTCTAAACAGATTGTGATAAAATTTCTATAGGGCTAATCTAAAATTATAACCTTACAGATAATAAAAATCTAAATCAGTTAAGAGGTGACAAATATAAAAAAATACAATGAGAGCCTCCTCTTTTTTTAAGTTGGTTGAAAAATTTAATTCGAGTGACATTTAGAAATAGCCTCTTGTCTCGTTAAACTCTAATATGCTCTTCGAAATATTGATATGTTGATTGATGCGCTCATAATAACAGTAACAGACATCAAATGTATCTATGTACTTTCATATGCTTCAAATAAAATGTGGGTTGCATTTTACTCACTGATAATCTAGCTTTCTATAAGTGATATAATTTTTAAAAGTAATTATTTTTTTAATTTATCTGGTACAAAAAAATCCTCGTTATAATATATATAATCGTTACAATATTTCTCTGTACGATGTAATACCATTGCCAATATTTTTAGATATATTTCCATTACCTCGCATTCTCAACGACTAGAAAATAGGACATTTCCTTTATTTCCATCTCAATTCAATGATAATAAACATAATCACAAATGAAGCACGTAATTTCATATAGGTGAAACGAGCTCCCCAGTAATGGGTTTGAAAAATGCTTTCAAAGCTAGATTTTTTCTGGGAGCGTATTAACCTTTGGGTCAAATATCACAAAAGACAGCCTGGTATTATCAGTAACGAGGTTTTACTATAATTGGCATGGCGCAAGTGAAGAGAGAACAGCAATAACAAGATCTGCAAAATAATGTAACGAAATGGGATGATAATAAAATGTATAATGACGTGATAATAAAAGATAATACCTTTCTTTTGGTGGTATAAAGTCCCGTTATCGTAAAATGAATATTTTAAAAAAGAATAAAGTTAAAAGTTTTTTTTTTCCTTTGTTTCTTGTCTTTTAATTAACAATAAAATTTTAAGGCTCTTTTTTAGTATTAAGCATTGTCTGAGAAAAAAGAGATGTTACAAATAAGAATCAGATACTATGTTCACGTAAGAAATATTTTTGATTTACCCATCTTTCGTCAAGAACATTTAAACTCAAAAACCGATGGAGAAACTGCTAATTGCAAATATATTAAATTATCCATCGCTAAAAATGAGAAAACATATAATTTTGTTCATTTTAAAAACCCATGTAATTGTTTTGTAAGCAACTTTTGGATTCTATTTATATATTATATAATTATGTTTTCCACCTATCACTTGTACCATCACACTACATTGTAAACCGATGAGGGATTTCAAAGGCTCAGAAATGGTTGGGTCATTTCAATAAATATCATGTGAATTATTAGAGGAGTAGTTTGTCTTAACATTATTTTTTTATGTTAGCTGTTTCTTAACATGACGTTATTTAAGCATCTGCATAGTCATCATCGTAACGTCTCATTCTCTTTTGTAAGAGAATGATATTATGAAATGTTTTTTTACACTTGCTATATTTAGTAATATCTTTTTTCGTATATGGTTGGTTTTTAATTGCCTCTTAGTACCTTATCTAATCATCATGACACTTTTGTATACTTGTAATATTTTGGGTGAAGAAGGACATACAGTTCTTTTTATCCTGTTGTGTATTATTTTTTTAAATAATTTTCTTTTTTCTCCTTATTCCTTTCTTTTGCTTTTTAAGTATACTTTCTACTTCAGTCGTAGGTATTTTATTATTATTAGAATTTTGGTTGTATATTATATATATATATATATATATATATATATATATATATATATATATATATATATATATATATATATATATATATATTTTTTTTTTTTTTAAGGTTATATATACTTAGATACTAATATTGCGAGCAAAGATTTGAATAACTGAATGAATGAAAACTCTTTATCGTTCCCCTTTAAAGAATTAAATGGATTATAAAAATTAATATAAAAATTAACAATATGTATACAAACAAAATTAATACTTACTAGTATCATGGGCGAAACAGTATACTCTGTTATGTCCATGGTACTGCTCATGTCTATAGGCAACGGTTACCACTTTTCATCAGGTGGGCCGTCAGCTTGTTTGCCATTCTAAGTTGCATAAAAAAAAAAAACTTAATTACATTGATTGTTTATTTGGATAAACTCAAAAATTAGCAAACCGACTTCCAAAATCCTTTTACCTACATAAAGCTAAATTCCAACAAGTAACTATAGGGCTATATATGGTTTTAAAAAATTCCATCTACCCGTGCAAAGCCGGGCCAGATCGCTAGTATATATATAAAAGTTAAGTCTTTCCTCTTAAAAATGTACAATACATTCCACTGCTTTACTTACTATAGTATTATACTCACGCCTCATTCAATATTCTCTTTTCGCTTATTGGTTACAATTTTCGCTTCATCTCTATTCTGCTTTCCATGTATCGCTTCAAACAAAAGGTTAGTTCTATTGTAATTGTGAACAATCCATATCCATCCCAGAATATACCGTGACTCGCTTAAAATGAATTCCTGAGGTTACCATACCCCTGTTATCAAAGGAAACCAACATAGCCGGTGGATATTGTAGACATTCAGTGTTTGTACTTATGTAGTGCACGTTACATAGGAGGAATTCGTTAGCATCCTTTGAAAAGTGTTCTATCAGCGAATCTAAATATATTCACCAAAGATATGGGTTTAAAAAGAGCAAAAAAATTCAGTCAGCTATGATTTTTTTTATGCAATTTAGAATAGCAAATAAGTCGACAGTCTGTCTAATGGGAACTGGTAAAATTTTTTTTTTGATGGATGAAAATGGTATGGTAGTACCCTTCACTAGTGCTCCGTCAGCGTATCCCGTTAGCGCAGACGGGGCTACCATTTCATTTTCACTCATAAAAAAAAAACCGAGTACAGGCACCAGCTTCCACAAATAAAATTGTTAAAATGTTCTGTATGTTATAGGTAGTAAGTTCCATAATTGTTTATGGTGAGAAGTAAAGCATACATATTAATAAACATAGTAATAGGGAATTTATAACAAACTTTAGAATCAAAACTATGCTTTTTAAAATTAAATATTGATATTGGTACTTATTTGAATAGAAATAAAACACAAAATTACACAACATTCCTTTTTAATTATTTTAAGAAATCTCACAATAAAAGTCTTGACTGGATCTTATCCATAAACGGCAATATGCACAGCGAATGTAATATTGTTTTTTTTTTTTTAAATAAATAAAAACTTACATTACGGCTTACATCATACAAATTCCATACAAATATTTACATTGGCCCTTAATCGTGAACGAATTTATAACCATACAATATTATGTATGTGTAACAGCAGATATAGATTTTAATTATTTATCAATGACAAAGCGAATTATGTTATTTTTGTTAATAAAAATAATGGAAGTTAAAATAGGTTTACGAATAAGGGCGAGAGTATTTTTAAATTTAAATTTATTATATTGTCCAAAATTCATATCGAACCATTACTAAAATTTCAACTTAGGTTTAACTAAACACGATACCCTGTTTGTTTAAGGATCAACCCTTTTAAACAATTATAAACAATCTCATAGAATTTGTACAGGTCATACGTATATTGTGTTTAATGTAAACTTTGAACTGAAATAAATTTGTTAATACACATTTAAACTTTTTACATGTGAAATATTTTAAACATACACATTTACTAAAAAAGAAGGTATCACTAAATTATATAAAAATTTTAAATAACAATATTTTGAAAAAAATAAATTAAATCGCCGACGTATGTACAGACATTTTTTAATTTGAAGTTGTTATAAAATAGATTTTTTTTATATCACTGAGGTGGCAAACAAGCATACGGCTCACCTGATGGTAAGTGATTACCGTAGCCTATGAACATCTGCAATACCAGAGGTATTACGTATAAAATAGATATTTCAAATATGACACATATTAAAAAAAATCTATTTAAAATTATACCCTTTTTATATTTAATGAACTGTACTGTTAAAATAACATGTAAGTCATATAACATGTATGTAAGACCGACAATCGAACTCAACATGATATTTAAGGGGGAAAGGGATTGTTAGCAATGGAATTTGACAGCCCCATTGCTAGCAATATGCCCTATTAGGTTGACCTCCACGTGTTTCCCCCTGGAAATCATCGTGAACAATTCTTGTTGAATTCGTCACGATGGGCTAACTGACTTGCTTCATCCTCACCTATCATCCTTCACTGGTGCCTCGCCGGTGTATACCGATAGAGCGGGTGGAGTTACCATACCATTATCATCCATTAAAAAAAAAACATGTTATTTATAAATTTGCTAAAACATTAGCTATTTAAAAAAAAAGGAAAAACTATTTTAAATTCATAGAGAATTGTAAGTGAAATTAAAAGATGTCTCATCACATTTAGGCCCAAATACATTTATTAAAAACAAATATAAATATGTACATTTTCTTTTGAAGAAAACATTATATACACTTAATGGATTTTATATATTATTATTAAGAAAAATATTATTTGTTTAATATGAAAATTCATTATTCATAACTGTACAATTCGATAGCTACAATTCAGTTAATTTTTGCTTTCAACACGCAATTATTACACATAGAAGCTATTTGGATTTGCTTGACAATTTTATTGTGAAATTGTGTATCTAATAATTATTATGCAGATATTATATTATGTCAATAAATGTTCATTTTTTTTTTTTGGTAAAGTCACTTTGGGGAAAAGACTAGAGAACCGATTTAATTCACTTTCCTTTCAATTCATTTTAACACTTGTTAGATCTGTAACAAAAATAAATTTATTGTTATAAATTTTAATTAAAAATAATTATAAACATATATTGGATCTATGGGAAAGGTCTATGTCCAGAAGTGGACAGATAACGGCTGAAATGATAATGATGATGATATATATTCAATATAGTTGGTAAATAACACTTTATTATAATTTGCCCAATAATTAATTTGAAGAATCAGCCAGTACGTTCATATTTTCCAATTATAATTATAATCCAGATGTTGTCTAAAGAACTGCCCATTATTTCTTTTGTTTTTTTTTCTTTTAATATTTTGAACATTGTCTGTGATAATTGTCAATTAATCTAGTATAAATTCAAATAATAATAAACTAAATTAATAAGAAATAAATTGATAAAAAGAAAAAATAAAATATTTATTCTCACCTGGGTTGTTTCCTCAAATTTATGATACAATAACTTGAGCTAATGCATTTATTAGAAGTATCGTCAGTGCTGTACAGAATTTTGGACCTGAAACAAATAATAGCTAATTATATTAATCAATATTATATTTGTTCATTTATATATTTTTAGTTTCTTTAGTTTTTAAATCAAAATACTGGTTTTGTCACATCTAACTCGGTGTTTTTTTTTAATATAACATTCAACTTGCATATATATTAAAAAAAATCCGTCGATATATCTAGTCTCTTTTTTATGCAACTTAGAATGGCAAACAAGCTGACGCTCCACCTGATGGAATATGGTAACTGTCGCCTATAAACATGAGCAGTACCATGGACATAATAGAGTATACTGTTTCGTCCATGATATCCCCCATGCGTTGCCATTCCTAAGGACTCACACGTAATTCATCTGTACCCTGTAAATTCACTGCCATATCCCATCCTTCAAACCGAAACACAGCCATGCAAATACTACTGCTTCACGGTAGAAATATGAATAAAACAGAGGTACGCAAGCAAACGACTTTTGTACAAGTCTCCATCTGGTAGTCAGCCGACGAAAAGAGTTTAAAGCAACTGAATTCATAATTTGCAATATAACTATATATTTACGATAAACCGTTCTTTGAATAACAAATTGTATTTAACGATTAAATTTCTAAGCCAGAAATGCTTTTATGTAACACTTTGAAGAAGTAACCATTATTAAAATAATAATATCCGAAACAGGGGACAAATGACAGGTCTCACAGATTCCCCTTAAAATTAACAAGGACCCTGTATTGTCATCGTTGAAATTTAATCTAGGGGCATTGTCTATCGCTTAATTACTGTAGTAATTGGAAGAGTAAAATCGAAGCCGTTCGCAAAAGGCGGACAGGTATTGGATTCGGCCGGATGTACAGTATCAATTTCCTTTTGAAGAGCTTATCTTCTTAAAACTACAAAGTAAACCTCTATAGGTTTATTATATCCTAGTACATAATTTGATTTTGGCTGTGTGGATCTGGCGTAGAATAGGCCATTCCTTGCTTTCCCGTGGGTGTCGTAAGAGGCGACTAGTAGAGGGCGAGGGATGGGCAGCAGCGTCCCTCTTAAAACATCTCTAAAGAATGACTGCGGTTGCCAAACGTGGTAACTACGGGCAAAACTCCCTCAAGGGGGAGGCTTCAGCTTCAGAAGTGGACAGTTAAAGGCTGATATGATGCTGACGATATAATTTAATTTCAAATAATTTTGTTGATATTATTAACAAACTGTCTGCTCCAGCTTCGCGTGAGTCTATAAAAAAAAGTAAGTTCTTTTTCTGACAAAGTATTGAATCGATTAATCCAGTGTTTTTTAAACTATTTCATGGGGATATATAAGGTTCTCCTTAGTGTGTAAAACTATTTTGCAACCCCCTACTCTCCGCGATTCCTAATTTGTATAGAAATAAAATATTAGACGGTTAAATACAATAAGATAATTAAATAATGCATGGTAAAGTACTTCAATTCGACATCGATTGCATTGGAAAAATCTAGAAGGTAGAGGACTGTCCATGCGTTCGCGATCCATACTTTGAAAAATATTGAATTAATTGATAATATTTTAGAAGATATACACTGATAGTTTCTTTTTTCACTCAATTATACACTTTTATAATATGAAGATATTATAACAATATACATTAAATTTTAAATAAAAAAATAAAAAATTAAAGATTGTGTCCCGCATAATAACTAACTTAGATTGTGGCAAAACCAGTTATTTAAATTTAAAAACTAAACTACTATAATAATAATAATAAATAGATTTATTTCCTCTTCACAATTCGTCACAGTGAAATACAATGAGACATGCTTATATTAAAGTAATCAAATTATAAGAGAACTTATTTTGAAAAAAAAAAACTTTAGAACCAACCGACTTATAGAAGTATGCTTTCAGGTAAACATTTTTCAAATCGATTCATAACTGATGGAGTTTTGGGGTACACAAACATAAAAAAAACAAGTCGGTTGTAAAAAACAACATAGGTACAAACGAATTAAAACTTTATGAAAAAATAATTTAAACTTTTTGAAAAAAGCAACATCTGAGTTTTTCGTTTGTTCTTCTTGACTGAAATTGCGTTCCAAATGGGCGGTAAAAAATGACTATTCAAAAATGCTTAGATCTAAGTTTTCTTTCTTTCTTCTTTCCCTCTCTTTAATGTCAGTAGAAAAGCGCAATTAATTTATACGCTAAAAAAACATCTAATCAACTGATTTAAGACAATTTACTATATATACTCGTACATTTAAAACTTAACATAAACCATTCAGAGCTTTTGGAAATTAATATACAAGTGGGTATATAATAAATTACCTTTAGAAACGCCAACTGCAGCCGCCAGTTGCATGTCGGCCGCCGTCGGCATTTCAGGCGTCGTACTTATGGGCCCTGCGCAGAAAATATGAAATATATATGATTATAAAATTTATAATACATGTCACAATCTATTAGTTTAAAAATAAATATACAATAACATTTGATGGTTTTGAATCTGATGTATAGAAAAGACAAGTATATTCTTTTTCCCCATCAATTTTTGGGAAATTGGTGGGGGGAAAGGGATTGTTAGTAATGGAGACTGAGAATCCCATTGCTAGCAATATACCTAACCAGGTCGACCTCCTCGCGGTTCCCCCATACCATTTTGACCCATCAAAAAAACATTTGCAGTGTGGTCCCTATGGTATATATGTATATATATATATATATATATACATATATATATATATGTATATATATATGTATGTGTACATATACATGTATATATATATATATATATATATATATATATATATATATATATATATATATATATATATATATATATATATATATATATATAGAATAGTCAACCTTTTTCTTTCCCGTGGGAGAGGTAACTAAGGAAATTTAATGATAGAAGAATGGGCAGCAGCGTTTCTTTTAAAACATCCCTTAAAGTCTAACTGCGATTACCAATCCGTCTTCGAGCGTAACAATTACTGAAAAAAACTCCCTTAGTAGGAAAGGCTTATGTCCAGCAGTGGACAGTTAATAATAGCTGGTATGATGATGATGATGATGATGATGATGATATTATATTTTATTGTAATTTGATAATATTTTATCCTTAATAATATTTTAAATGTGAAAGCGAGTTTGTATTCGTATGTTTGTATCGCCTTAACAGCTTGACCAATTACCATAAAACTTTGTTATACGTACTACTCGTAAATGAGATGAATAAGGATATAGATTAGTTTTTATACAGTTAAACATATCCCGGTTACGCAGACGAAGTCGCGAGTAAAAGCTTGTTCTGTATAAAGGTAATTATTTATTTTTTTATCTAAATCTAACTCAGACAGCAAACAATAGGCATTTAGAGGATTATGTGTAGGTTGCTTAAGAGAACTAAGCATCTAGATCCGAGTCAAGGTTTAATATAATAATGATAATATGGAATATTCTCGACAAAGAAACCACTCTTTCTAGAAATTAAAAAGAAGTACATATTATTGTATTTAATATTTTAATATACTTGACTATAATATATTTATCGTCAAGGATAAAAAAGACATAAAGCATTTGTTGTATGTGTATAACAAATTTCATGACTGTATGGTATAGAATATGGTAGGTCACGGTGATGGCAAAAAACGAAGACTTTTACAATTGGATTTTGTTTTCGACACACTAATTTTATAAAGGTTAATTACAGATAAGACGTGTGGTGTCGATCGCATCTAGGTGCAGACTGGGGCGTGGCGTCGATTATAAGTTTAAAAACGACCACGACACCGCATGCAGAAACAATGACATAGACAAATACTATTTTATTAATAATTGAGTTTGGAGGCACAGAACGCGTCACTTACAATGACAATCGATCAAGCCGATAAGGCAATAGGTAACAAATACACAAACTTAAAGGTTAACTAAAAGAAATTCCTTCTATGGAGTAAGTCCTCCATTGTACTCATTTTTTTTTTTCTTAAGAACTCAGTATCCTATATTTTAAGACTTTACTGTACAATAAAGTATTACAAACAAACATACTCACTATCCCATAACTATATCAGTGAGGATTAGTATATAAATAAATAAAATTTAGTAAATCATTACATTTGATTAGGAATGAACATTATTGCACAAGAAAATTACTGTAGAATGAACGCAAATCCATGGACTGAAGATCGAAATGTAATTTCGATAACTGTAAAAAAAAAGAACTGCTTCAGATCATATCTGTCGTAAATTCCCGTTATTCCTTAGGGGCATCCTTCGATATAACTAAAAAACTCGATCCGTCATAATCCATCGATCCATCATTCGATGTCCCAATCGTAATAAAAATAGACCGCGATAAACTATCGACGAATCTCGTTGACCTTTCATTAGCAAATCAAGGGGAACACCCTAGATTGTTTGTGTTGACTATCCTACCCGCCGATATTCTATTAAGAGCATTTTTTTTCCATCCACAATGGAGTTAACGAACCATAAAATTATTCACGAGGACTCGTTGCAGGAAATGTTCCATCTCTCTTTCCTACAATTTAGATAGCTGTGTATACAAACTTTCCTCTGATAAAAAGCTTAAATAGCCCTCTCGCAAATTATTCCTTGAAATTGTTATTTTCATGCCTCCGTTAAAAATATTTCCATTCCTTATTCTTTTCTTCGCCGGCATTAATGACGTTCGTCGACTTATAAAGCGGTTAAATTGCTTGTTTTAAATAAATAAACAGCTTTCTGTTTGCGCCGTCGCATTTTATCCCGTTGGTAACCGGCTATAAATTCTTTGTGTGCCTTTTTTTTTTAAATAAAGCAGTTTCTATTCAGTACGATATCACGCTGTTCTATAGAGATTATTAAAAAAAAGAGCAAAACTTAAATTCATTTGCATCGTCTGTCGCGAAGTTGTCATACAAAAACTGACAAGTGATGAAGGACAAGCAATATGCCTTTGCAATATTCTTTTTGATGTTTCGTTTAGAAATTCAACCTTTGAGTTTATGTCATGGAGAACGCTGAGATAGTTACTTTGTGAATTTTGTGATGAAGGGTAAACGAAGTTGTCAGTGAAAAAAGAATTGACAATGTTTTGTGAGAGAAAAAATAGTTTCACGAGAAAAAGTCATTGAACTATAAAAAAAAAAAAATGATACATAATCTTTATTATCTAAAGTATAATAATGAAATTGAATATAATTTCAAACAACATATTTAAATACGAAAGTGGAAAAAGTACCATGTTCCTTCTATTAGTAATATCAATATCTTTTTACATAAAGTACATAAAACATATTTACCTGGATAATAAATAGCTTCTTTTCTAACAGCATATTTAGCTTGCGGTATCCTTAATGTGCAGATAAATTCTGCTGGCGAAGGTAGGTCTGCATCGCGCAACGTGACCGACGAAAATGCAGAGTACCTCCCTTTTGCATTATAATTTAGTGTATGTGAAACTCCTTCTAGACGCCTAGAAAATAAAAAAAAGGTAATTAGAAAAAAATAATATCATAAACATACTCATTGGATACTAATATTACACGTTATGATTAATTTTTACAGTAATATTCTTGGGGGAAAAGGTATTGTTAGTAATGGGTTCTAACACGGATTCCTCCAAGCGATTCCACCTGGAAACCATCGTAGTTAATTCTTGTCAAATTCTTCACTTGTACCTCGCCAGCGTATACCGATAGCGCAGGCGGAGTTACCACTCCATTTTTATCCACAAAAAACAGTAAAATTCTTGTTCGTCGTGGCCCTAACAAATAATTTTTCTAAGAGATTTGCCATAAGGTAATAAAGTACGCATAATCTATACTTATATGTTACTATTTAAATTAAAACGCAACTTCGTAGTCCGTTTTAATGTAATATTTTAAAGGAAAACAGAGGAAAACCAGACAACATTGTGACAAATGACAGTTCATAAGAGTTAGTCTTTAATATTTATATTGTAAGCGATGGTTAACCAATAATATTATTCATAATTTTATATATGGTATTAAATATAGACTTAGTATAATGTACTGCGTAGTAAGTATTAAAGGTATATACCGCGTTACACAATTTCTTACTGTTCTCAATGTTGACTGGAAGACCGGTCCCTACCGGTCTGCCCATAAATTTTAGTATTTTTCTTTGTAATATGTTTCTTTTTACCTATTATTATATGCAAATGTAATAAAGCTTATACAAACAAACAAACAGCCATCGGTGAATTGTAAATAATAAAAGAACGCAAACAATCTTCTTAAAGCGAAATGGCTTCTGATTATTTTATTACAGATAAACCAAATACAATAAATTTATGTATAGTTTTAGTATTGAATAAAAATCATACACATTATCATCATAGTTTTTTTATGCAACTTAGAATGGTAAACAATCTGACGCTCCACCTGATGGAAAGTGGTATAACAGAGTATACTGTTTCGCCCATGATACTATTCCTGAGAACTAAAGTATTATTATTCTGCACCCTGTAAATTCATTGTTATATCCCAGACTTCAAACCGAAATACGGCCATGCAAACACAACTGTTTCACGGTAGAAACACGAATGGGACAGAGGCGCTCAAGCAAACGACTTTTATACAAAGTCTCCCTCTAATAAAATCACCTAATATAACAATACATTTAAATACAGGCACCTAAATATCTAGGCAACATTTTATATTACATTATTCATTACCTCTGATATTTTTAATCTAAGTATGATTTATACAATGTTGTCCAAATATAAACTTCTCCATTGGAAAATTACGAAGTTACGAGACAACTAATGTACATACAAAATACAACATTGTGCATCGGACAACGAGGTTAACAATACAATTACATTTAACAATGAAGTTGAGGGGAACCCAAGGGAAATCCAAATACACAACAACTGTAACGTTATTCTAAGAATGTAAGGAATTAATGAACAAATATACATAATACAGGAACTATACAAACTGCTAGCATAGAAATTTCTGTGCTATGCAAAACACTTTTATTTAAATGGACAATGGGCTAGCGATATAGTTTAAGCCACCGACAACTGTAGAAAAAGCGAAGTTCTTACTTGGTAAGTTACATAGAAGTAAATACAGTACGGAGAAATGCTTCACGAGGTATTGTGATAACTTCTAATATACATCACGAAGTTTATTTATTTATTTATAAATTTATAGATCTATGTAATTTAGAAATTTAATAATGATAAAGAATAAGCAACGAAAAGGCGTTAATATGATAGTGAGAAGCGCGACGTTTAGTTTAAGCAATTATTGCATTAGATGAGATTCAATCTAGGAACATTTAATATATACCAGTATCTATATATTTCTTTTTTATGCGTGAAAATGGCATGGTTAACTCCACCTGCGCTATCGGTATACACTAGAGAGGTACCAGTGAGCGGTGATAGGTGAGGATGAAAAGGCATGTCAGTTAGCCCATTGTGACAAATTCAATGATAAATTGGTCACGATAGATTCCAGGGGAAACCGCGTGGAGGTCGACCTGATAGGGTATATTGATAGCAATGGGGACTAAACTCCCCATTACTAACAATTCCTTCCCCCCAGTATCTATATATTGGCCAAATAATATCGCATATACAATATATTATAATGACAAATTCTATCGGAATAAATATAGATATCAGACTGATATGGGCAATATACAAATGGGTGATAACCTTTTTTAAGCTCTCAATTTCCAAAGACCTTAATATTGATATTGAAGAAATATTGATATTTTAATGGATGATAATGGAATGGTAACCCCACCCGCGCTATCGGTATACACCGGCGGGGTACCAGTGAAGGATGATAGGTGAGGATGAAGTAGGTCAGTTAGCTCATCGTGACGAATTCAACAAGAATTGTTCACGATGGTTTCCAGGGGAACCACGTGGAAGTCGACCTAATAGGGCATATTGTTAGCAATGGGACTGTCAAATTCCATTGCTAACAATCCCTTTTCCCCCGAAATATTGATATTACTCATGCCTAATCCAATCTAATATTCCATTTACAATGTCTATGAAACATTTTATACACGATTGCATACAATATTAGTGCTTTAAAAGAGTGCTTCCCGCAATGCGGCTATTATATGCGCTGGTAACTTCCTATATTATGCCGAAACCATTTTATCATGATCTTTATCGAAGCATTTCTAATAACACTGTCCAACATAAAATTACAAGAAACAAGAAACGGAGTAGACCAAGTTATTTTGGCTTCCTTGTTAACCGATTCGCTTGAAATTAGACGGAAATCACAGGAAAGAGAAACTTCTATATTTGGGATTTGGAACGGACATTGGGTGAGCAAATGAAATTTATTAGGTATGTGTAAAAGTTTATCATTGACCGTCAAATGGAATTGTTCGGTTAATGTTTGAAATTCACATACCTACTTATGAATTTGTATATTAAATAATTTACACGAGTAAGTTCCGAAATTAAAGTGGTAGTTATTGAAAAGTTATGGGTTTACTATTAATATCACTCTCTTAATATGTATTTATTGATTTATTGATAATATTTCTTTAAATGTTATTATTTTATAAATAACAAATAAAAATAACAAAGATTTGTGACATTGTCAAAAATTTAGTTATTACTACTTTTACTAAAATAATAAAATGCACACACACACACACACACACACACGCGCGCACACGCACGCGCACACGCACACGCACACGCACACGCACACGCACACGCACACGCACACGCACACACACATATATATAAATATTTATATTACATGTAATTTACAAGTGTAATAAAGGGTATATAATAAAATAATATACTGAAGATATTTAAAGAAAAAAGATATGAGAGGACTTAACAAGAGTAATAGAAATCTAAACACTATTTTTAATTACAGAGTAAGATACTCTATCTAAAGGTTATATATATGGGTATGTATATAAAGATTAATGCCCCCATTCATAAAAACGTAAATTTTGACTCCTATCGCTCTTTTTAAGACCTCTCGTATCAATTTTTATTAAACATCTCTTTATGTTTATATCATCTAGTTTTTTATTTATTTATTTAGGATATTAATAAAAATACACTCATAGAAGATAAAAATAGTAAAACAAAAACCCGTTTGAAGTTTATCCGTCACAGTCCAAATACATTTTCTCATCGTCATTTAGTAAATAGTGGGAATTTATTTTACATTTATGTGGATTATTGTATACGTTGTCAAAAACATTCGCAGGCAATTTATTATAATATTTGTGCTAACAAATACAATTTTATTATATCAGTAAGAAGTAGAATAATTAAAGATTGTGTCCCACAAAGAAGAAACAGACTTCAATTGTGATGAAACCAGTTTTTTTTTTCTAAAAACTAATCTATAGAATCCATTTTCTACGGAACCAATCCGTACGTATTTCCTTTCAGATACAAAAATCAAATCAACCATTTTTTTTTAAATATAGAACTGACGGAGTTATGGGGCAACAAACATAAAATATCATGGGGGGTATCATGAGCGAAAGAGTATACTCTGTTATGTCCATAGTACTACTCATGTCTATAGGCGACGGTTACCACTTTCCTTCAAGTGGGCCGTCAGCGTGTTGGCCATTCTATGTTGTATTAAAAAAATACAACTTAAATAAGAACCTCCTTATTTCGATGTCAGTTAATAAGATATGACTTGTTCTAAATTAAAATGTTTACCTGTCCGGTGTGGCGAGCGTCAGGTTTGGCGCCGGATACGCTCCATCCGCTGCGCAGATGACATTCACGGTGTCGTCATCCGTCTTGTTCTGGATCAGCCGGAAGTTCGTCTCCGGTACTGTAACATTACGCTTGTGAGGATTCCTGTCTTTTATTTTAAAATATGTGTCAACAACACGAAAGTTTGAAACCACTGTCTTTTGTTTTATTACTAATTTTTGCCCGTTGATTCGTACGCTTGGATTTCAGAAGTAGATAAGCTAATAAAATGGACCACTTATATATTGCGTATCAAGGTAAGACATACATGAGTTTTTAAGTTAGACCTTCAGCCAGATAATTGTGTAAACAGCATCCAATTTGGTGCAGTAGTTTATGTGTGATACCGGTACAATTTTAAGACATGCTTGTATGTTTGTTCCGGAACAAACACACAAGCAGGCAAATTGTCTTAAAATTGTTATTTTCGGATTTATTGGCTTAAGACTCCTTAGATTATTTTTTCTTAAATATCTCCCATGTACTGGCATCGTCTAGCTATAGTTTTGAATAAAAAGCCCCTGAAGAAGATATTCAGATGAAATCGAAGCTATTGCTGGAAACGACAAATATAATGCATTTGTAAAATTCCCGTTGTTCATGTACGATTATGCCGTGTGTGTCCCGGCATAGAATGGACTACCCCATCTTTTCCCATGGGTGTCGTAAGAGGTGACTAAGGGAAGGCGAGGGATGGGCAGCAGCGTCCCTCTTAAAACATCTCTAAAAGCTTAACCGTGGTTACCAACTCGCCTGCCAAGCGTGGAAAAATTCCCCTTAAGTCCATCAGTGGACAGTTCATGGCTGAAATAATAATAGTAAAAAAAAATATACGAGTATATAGACATTGTTAAAAAATTTACATAAGTTTTAAAAATAGTTATAATGAAATAGTATATTTACTAACAGCTATTTTTTACTATTGGATATTGGCTCCTGATATCACAGAAGCGTTATGACGTCGAACAAGCGATCCAAAAGCGTGGCCGTATACAGTGAACGCTTTTGTCCCCTCCGAGTACATCGCGAAAAAAATTGACGTTTGACAGTTCTTGTCCTGTCATGGCTTCCGATTGAGTATATTGAATTATTGAAAATCTATTTACGTCTCGGGTTAAATCCCATGAGTTTTATTTGGAAATGTGAATTTTTAACAACAATGTTGTATAATATTTAAAAGCAGAGTTAGAAATAGCGAGTATGTTGAGGGAATTTCGACTTATATTTTCTTAGAAGCCTTAGAACTGCTATCGGCATAAAAAGTGATGTGACGCGGATAACAGATGTAAGAATGTATAAAAGTTGCTTAGCCTAACAAAAAATGTGGGTCTGCGGTGTAATTGATGACCGATTGGCGTTTTGTTGCCAATATATATTTAAAAGTACAAAATCTAAGTATCAATGTCCATTCCTTATTATATTTCTTTATTTATTATTCCTTTATTCAAAGTCGTTTTCCCAATTAGGTAAAGGAATCATATAATTTCTTTTCAGTAACAATTTTTTGTATTTGAACTTAAGAATTGTGATCAATTTCACTTATCAAGCATTAGATATTAGAAAATAACTTTTACTAAAAGTATTTATTTTATTTTTAAATCTTTGTTTCTTATGTATATATATATATATATATATATATATATATCGTAATAATGTTGATAAGCAAAGATAACGTGTGGATTTTATAACTAATTCTAAAAGATTGCCTACAAGAGATCTCTATTAGCAAAAAGTCTGCCCATTGTTTTTTCAGTGTAGACATTTCTTGTAATTTCTTTTTTTGTATTTTTACTAAGTATACTACTGTAATCTTTTGAAGGGAACAATAAAGAGTGTCTATCTATCTGTCTATTTAATTCTCATGAAACTGTAATAAGTCAGTGACTTGTACTGTAATATAACAATGCGGTAGGCGACGGTCACAGTACGTGTCAGGGGGGAAACAAACGTTTTACGAGAAGGCTGCCTGCCTGGCAGAAATATGAAATTCACCGTATTCCACTTGTAAAAGCACTTTCGCCGACAATATAAATGTCGGAAAATAATATATATATATATATATATATATATATATATATATATATATATATATACTAAAATAAAAATATATTTTATATGTTATAAAATCCGTTAAAAGATTTTTTTTAGTACTATAAAAACAATTAAATACTGATTAATATAGTTTAAAGAGTTAAATTATAATTTGTTTACAATTTTTTTTTATTATTATATAGAGTTATAATATTCTAAGTTATAAGTCAATAAGTAATAAAATAAAAATTACTTATTCAATAGATAAATACATACTTTTATTGTTTCCTCCATAAGATTACAATAGTAAACTTATTATAAATACAAATAATTACAATAAAATATTACACTGAGAAAACAATGAGCGGTCTTATCGCTAAAAGCGATCTCTTCCAGACAACCTTTGGGCGGAGAAGAATAATTAGAATGTCTCATAATTTACTCAACTGCGAAGCTAAAATTTAGCAGAGAAATTCCTGGGGCTTAGGCATCCAATAAGAAGAAATTTACAGAAATTCTAACGAAAACGTAACGGGTTCGCACAGGTAAAACAAGGAGAAATGGCTATTAGTCTATGGTCGAGAGAAAAACAATTTTAATTTACGTTTTAATAGGGATTTATTTCGCATAACTGCACAAAGTTAATGACAATTTTAGAAGAGTTGGGCAATTCGATATTATTATTTTATCTTATCGGTTTATTTCGTCATAGTATGCTTAAAACAGGGAAAATTTATTTAATTATCATTTTGTACTAGTGATTTTCTCCGCTACACGCATACTGTTACAACCTAACAATGGGACATTATTGCTGAATAGCAATATAATTTTTTTATATTTAAATCAGCATATTTATCATGGGCGAAACAGTATACTCTATTATGTCCATGGTACTGCTCTTGTCTATAGGTGACGGTTACCACTTTCCATCAGGTGGGCCGTCAGCTTGCTTGCCATTCGAAGTTGTATAAAAAAAATACAAATCTTAAATCAGTCATCGTAATTAACTAGCCAAATTACTGCCCAGCTACGGATCTGGTTTCTGCCCGCTGGTTTGATCAGTAAAATTAACTAGTTAGATTTATCTTCCAGGCTCAATAAAACTCTAAACTAAGAGTTTCGCGCGTCACGAGTCGATGTGAACCTTCAAAATTAGTTAAAAGTGCCCTTTTTTTATACAACTTAAAATGGCAAACAAGCTGACGGCCCACCCGATGGAAAGTGGTAACCGTCGCCTATAGACATGACCAGTACCATAGATATAACAGAGTATACTGTTTCGCCCATGATAACCCCATGCGTTGCCATTCCTGAGAACTCGGTTGTTATTCCTCTGTACCCTGTAAATTCACGCCATATCCCACCCTTCAAACTGAAACACAGCCATGCAAACACAACTGCTTCACGGTTGAAACACGAATGGGACAGAGGTACCCAAGCAATCGACTTTTGTACAAAGTCTCCCTCTGGCACTGTTAACTGTGTAAAATATTAAATAAAGAACTTCGGTGTATGGCAAAAGTTTTTTTTTTTTTTATATTAAACAATCGAAGCATTTGGCGTTCCATTGTTTCTGCCTACCCTAATGGGAGACAGGCGTGACAGATATGTATGTATGTATGTATTAAACAAGTGCCCCACATTAACAGTACATCACTAATTTCTATTCGCTTGAGAATCTTCAAAACATTTTCTTACTGCATACCTATGTCACATAATGAGCAATTTTTTTATCGAATAAAGAATGTTATAAAATGCTGCATTATAGTATCAAAAAAAAAAATTAAGAAAGAACTTACCAAATACAATCATTTGCTTAGTTCTAGAATCTTCTTCTAGAAACGTTGACACTACACATGTGTAATCACCCGAAATTTCTGTGTCGGGCTTTATTATTCTTATTGCTCTATGCATTTTTAATGGGTCATTCGATGCTCTATAGTTTAAATCAACACGACCTCTTAATATACCCATTTCTTGTGGTTTCTTTGTGGCTATCCATTGATAAACTGGTTGGTTTTTATTCTCAAAGAACCATTTCACCACTAAGCCCGACGTGTTATTACCATACGTGTAATCACAGTCTAAAATTACGGAATCTTGAACACCATACTGGATAATTTCTGGTACTACTAATTTTACAATTTTCACTGCTTCAAAACCTGTAACAAGGAAAATAATAAATTAATATATTTATTTAAGAAGATTTGTCAGCGTATCAAGTTTTTCTGTTCTTTTTTAAACATACCTACACACATCATAATTAATTGTCCACTAATGAACATAGGTCTCTCTCTATTGGAAGTTTTGCCAGAAGTTGCCATACTTGGCAGGCAGGTTGGCAACCGCAGTTAAGCTTTGGTGGTGTTTTAAGAGGTTTAATAACACATATACACATTCTAATTTATTAATCATTGCAAAAAACAAGATCTATATTTTAAATATTAAAATTGCTTTATAAATTTTTTTATTTCATTACTAATGATAATATCGAATTTTTACATTCAAAGTTTTGACTGTATACTGTTTTGATGTAATGAAATAATTAGTAAATTATAAATTGAGTCATGTTTGATTGTCCAGGGTACTTTTAAAAGACAGTTATTATTAGGTTACTGTTAAATAAATTAGTAGACTACCATTAGTTCAATTGTGGCAGCAATTTCGTATATTTATTTTAGTATTGACATTTAATACTCGTATTTAAAGCTATAATTACTGTATTTTTTTATACAACTTAGAATGGCAAACAAGCTGACGGTCCACCTGATGGAAAGTGGTAACCGTCGCCTATAGACATGAGCAGTACCATGAACATAACAGAGTATACAGTTTCGCCCATGATACCCTCCATGCGTTGCCATTCCTGAGGACTCAGGTGTTATTCCTCTCTACCCAGTAAACTCACGCCATATCCCACCCTTCAAACCGAAACACAGCCATGCAAACACAGCTGCTTCACGGTTGAAACACGAATGGGACAGAGGTACCCAAGCAATCGACTTTTGTACAACTTCTTGGTATGGAATGTTGAAACGAAAACGAAAATGTTTGATTTTTTTTCGTCACTCATCATGTTAGCCGTTAATTGTTTACTCAACAGTAATAACAACAGTAATAATCCTTCCCTATAAAAGGCATTTTGCCGGTAATTACCATGTTTGGCAGGCAGATTAGCAACAGCAGATAGGTTTTAGTGATATTATAAATGGAACGCTGCTATTCATTTCTCGACTATAGTTCCCTTACTTACGACACCCACGGGAAAGGACGGTGTCGCCGATTCTTTGTCGGAACCACACGGCGAAATAAAGTAATATATATTGGATTAAACAAGATTACTTAGTAAAGGTGTAATTATTTATTTCATGTCAACATTAACTATATCTGTTTCTTTAATTAAAATATTGTTTGTGGGTTTTTTTTAATAATACTTGACCTTTTATAACAGATTTAGTGTGACCATTAAATTATAATGGATAATACTTGTTTTTTTGTGCATGCACACATTTTTTTTATACAACTTAGAATGGCAAACAAGCTGACGGCCCACCTGATAGAAAGTGGTAACCGTCACCTATAGACATAAGCAGTACCATGGACATAACAGAGTATATTGTTTCGCCCATGATACACCCCATGCGTTACCATTCCTGAGGACTCAGGTGTTATTCCTCTGTACCCTGTAAATTAACGCTATATCCCACCCTTTAAACCGAAACACAGCCATGCAAACACAACTGCTTCACGGTAGAAACTCGAATGGGACAGAGGTACCTAAGCAATCGACTTTTGTACAAAGTCTCCCTCTGGTGGTTATTTTAATATTACATCTGGAATCAACAGCTTATATATAGAATAATTAAAAATATTATATTTACACCATACATTAGACAATTACAGATTCCCAATTTGTATACCAGACAATATTATGCTTATTTTTGGAGGGTAGGTTAAAATAAATAGAATAAAATTTATGCAGATAATTATTTGTAATGTCACATCAGTGGAAGTTAAGCAATAATTAGTATAAAAGTATGTATTATTTGTGTGTATAGTGCTGTGTGAATATGATGGACCAAAAAACCTTTTTTTTTTCAACTTGCCCTTAAAACTGTTCGCAGTGTATTTCTAAATATTGTGTATTAACATTAAATTTATGACATTAACGTTTCTCGAAATGCCATGATCGAAATCGTTAACACCGACCGTGTATAACCGGCCCCATTTCACTAAAACAACCCCGTGGAAAATCTTGAAGGTTGCGAAGTTTATTATTTCAAAGTCACGAGCCAAACTGACAACGCATTAGCCGACGCGTCAATAATAATAAATCGTAGAATAATATTGGTGTGAAGAGAGCACAAGAATATTTCGATGGTAATGTAAATAATTAATATTCAACGGGCAACAACAAACAATTTGCTGGGGACACTTACGCCCTCAAGTTTACGCTTAAAGAAAATTCCCTCCAGTTAATCCATATCCATCAGTCTTGTAGTCCGGGAAACCATTAATATTTATGCAATTCCCAAGTCAACGTTGTTGAAAGCTTATTTAAATTCATCCATGCTCCTACTTAAAAGCGAGGGCAGGCACGACCTAAAAATTTGATTCGGTCGCGCTCAAAATTTTATCAGTGGACGTTTTAAGTAAAGTAAATACGAATAGAATGTTAGATAATGAATTCACGGGGGAGTCTCCTTTATGCATTACATTATTATGGGTTTCACGTTTATATACCAAGTCATATAATACTCCATCAATTGTCATCAACACTATCCAACTATCTTGTTTTTTTTTATACAACTTAGAATAGCAAACAAGTTGACGGCCCACCTGATGGAAAGTGGTAACCGTCGCCTATAGATATGAGCAGTACCATGGATATAACAGAGTATACTGTTTCGCCCATGATACCCCCCCATGCGTTGTCATTCCTGAGGAGTCAGATGTTATTTATCTGTACCCTGTAAATTCACGCCATATCCAACCCTTCAAACCGAAACACAGCTATGCAAACACAACTGCTTCATGGTAGAAACACGAATAGAACAGAGGTACCCAAGCAAACGCCTTTTGTAAAAAGTCTCCCTCTGGTAAACAGCTTTAAACAGCGCCATCATCATATCATATCAGCTCTTAACTGTCCACTGCTAAAGGACAAGATTTGTCCTTTATAAAAAATAAACAACAAATTCTAGAATCGCATTTCATATCTTCACTTGAAATTTTGATACCTATTTTTCTATACGATTCTTTTGTAAAAAATAAGTTTTTATTCAATACTTTACTACATATTACGCGTTAGTTGAATCATTTCTTTAAATTGGAATAGAATAATAGATAAATGCTATTTCAATTTATGCCGAAAAACACATATAAGGTCGTGATAATTCTGCAGATTAACCTTTCACCTTTTATGTCACTCTGCGTTTATTTTTAAGAATTTATTTGCTGTTATTTTTAGTTCACCACATGAAAGGTCATACGTGTGTGAGGAGAATGAATACATGAATGGGGGCTAAAAGATGGAAGAACGTAAACATGGGATCCCAGATAATATAATAGAGGTAACTATAATGATGATTGTGTTCTTTTTGTTATTTTGTTTAGTCATTCTTTGATAACATAAAGACATATTGTAACTCACGAACCGTAACCAACAATAATAGACAACACAAGTACTTCAATCTGTACAAACTAGGCGCACTATTAATAAACTACTCGTGGTAATGTTTTGAAAGCTATTTATTAATAGTAAATATTCTTCCGCAATAAACAGTAATTTCTAAAGTACAATCCCTAATTCTATTATCGATTCTTTGAACTATTTACAACATAAACTTTATGCAAGAGTTTCTCTGGACTATTTACAATATAAATTTTATGCAAGAGTTTCAAATAAATTTTAGCTTTTTTAAGAGCATTCATATTTTAGCATACAATATTATAATATTCTCATTAAGTTGTCACTGAAAAGTTAAATTTTGATAGCTAAAATGTATTTGAAGTATTACAAAGCAAAATATAAAGTAGATGGAAACATTTTAGTGGTAGATTACGTATTCTATTATTAATATTTTACTAATAGGCTTGTTTATAAACTCTCTTGTTAGGCTATCAACCCGCCTGCCAAGCATGACAACCACCGGCAAAGCTTTCCCTTATGGGGAAGGCTATGTTCAACAGTGGACAGTTAACTGCTTGTACAGCAATTAGACTTCAAGTATATTTGTCAACTTTAAGCCATTGTCAATAAGCTTTTATCCCTTAGTACGTTTCGAGTGTACAGCACGAGTCACGATTCAAACGAGCAGGATTAGTGCTGTCATAGCATTAAGCTATGTTCTCTGTATCTGTCAATCCCGAAATACCTTTAATATTATGATCCATATTGTTATATACTATACAAATATAACTAGATATAGCTATTTCATTTCGTAACATAATATACTGTTAATTGCATTTTTTTATACAACTTAGAATGGCAAACAAGCTGACGGCCCACCTGATGGTAAGTGGTAACCGTCGCCTATAGACATGAGCAGTACCATGGACTTAACAGAGCATACTGTTTCGCCCATGATACCCCCCCATGCGTTGCCATTCCTGAGGACTCAGGTGTTATTCCTCCGTACCCAGTAATTTCACGTCATATCTCAACCTTCAAACCAAAACACAGCCACGCAAACACAACTGCATCACGATTGAAACACGAATGGGACAGAGGTACCCAAACAATCGACTTTTGTGCAAAGTCTCCCTCTGGTATTTGATGTTAATAGATTAGTATAAATCTGTCCATATTATAATGGAGTAGCATTACAATAAATGATATATAGTACATATAAGCTGAATAACTGTTAAGTTTCTCGTGAGTTCTTCCTAGAAGACAATAACTTTCCGAACCCCGAACTAGATTTATAAAAATGACCGTTTATGCATGTTTATAAACAACTCTATTTTAATAAAGATGATTTGAATTTGAGATTTGCGTTTAATAAATAAATAAACACCTACGCTATCTAGTTCCAAACAAAGAAGACCTAGTATTATCGGTACTAGAGGATGTATTTATAAAATACGAGTAAAATACACATATAAAGCATTTGTAATAGTAAAAACAAATAAACTCATTAATACAAATGTGTATGTATTA